TATTTCCTATAATAATCTTACTCGAATTTGAAGAAGTTTAACTGAACCCAAACGGCCAAACCCCAAATCCCATTCCTTTTGCGGTCGAGGTAGTACTTATGTTTTATACAAGCAGGATTCTACCTCGTACAGTAGTATATTTAATTTTGACGGAGTAGTAAGGATCACTGAAATCATGCATCCATATATAGGTGCGAAAATGAGGCGAATACATTTGAGCGGGACACGTAGACCACGGACGAGCTACTTATTCGCTCCCCGTGCGCCAGTGATCACGGCGAGTGCTCGGCACAGGCTGAAGCAATCAACCTCCAGCTGCAATGCAATGGAGACGCGGCCATACGGATTTGTGATCCGTGAATATTGTGCGCGACAGAACAGACGCTGCCACAGCTCAACAGCTGTAGCGAACTAGCGATCGATCCATCGGCGAGCGATCACTATAATATCCAAGCTGATATGATACTATAATATTTATTAAAAATGCATGGAATCGTGATTTGTGACGGGTGGTTTGGACGATCCGTGATGCACTTGCACGCACGCATATAGTATGATTTAGTATTCGAAACGGAATTATCGTCTGATCTACTCCATCCGTCGTCTCTCCGGAGCTAGCGGACCATGCATGCAGGGCCGCACCGCACATGCGCTCAGATCAATGACCTGATTTGGCACGCAAGTTCTCCGCACCTCGTGGCCTGATCGGCGACGAAGGCCTCGCGTACGTTGACTTCTCTCGCCCGCCGCGTCCCGTCCCTCTCGCCCTCTCTGCTATGCATGATCCTCTCCCCACCAATTTCTCGGGGCGCTTTGGGGTTTCCCCTAGGGCTCGTTTGGATGCGCATGTATTCATCTTAATTCACATGGGTTGAGGTAGAACTAAACTAAATTCCACTATATTCTACTCTAACACATGTGGATTGAAATAGATACACATGCATCAAACAAAACCTTAATAATTTCTTGAAAGAACGGGTAACAATTGTACTACATTTTTTTTAAAAAAAACAAGAGGTTCTAGTTTTGTCCTTAGGCCATTCACGGTGCTGGATTGCATTGCACTGTTTCCAAGAATAATTTGTTGGCGATGAAATAAATCAAGACCCACGATGCATAGTTTTATTTCACATTTTCATATTCACACACATTTAAATATTGTATAGTGTTATGAAATAGTAAAATGCTCTAAGTAGAGTTTCACTCAATTTCTAACACGTTGAGATCAAATAAAATGCTCTCAGTAGAGTTTTGAGTGTTTCACTATGTTTCCCATGCATTGGCAACCGTGTGCAATGGGTTCCATCTAGATGAAACCTCTTTCCTCTCTCTCTCTGGTCATAATTATTATTCCATGTCATTATTTTTACTGATGTGTTGCCTTATTAAATGCGAATGAAACTCTCACTAGAACTGTCCTAAGCACCAACAGCGGCCAAATTATTAGTTCAATTAATCCACGATACAATTAATATCTAATGGTGCATTCTTTTTATATAGTAGATGTGTTAACATTTGTTTATAAAGATGATCCGTTTTAGAGAAGTGTAACTATTTTACAAATCAACTACACCTTGTTGTCTCAGCTTGTCCTTTTATTGTAGGCTTGTAGCCTAAGCTCGTCGGTCACTCTTTCTGCTTCCTTGGTGGAAAGTTTTAGCATCATGATCGAGGAAAGGAATATAACCAAACAAAACATGCCGATGTAATGTCTTGGCTTAAACATAATAGCTTTCATGGCAGTGACCTTAGGGAGCAACATGTCTTGGCGTCCGAACATGAAAAAAATCAAGAAAAGCATATTCGTTTTTATGTCTTACTACATGCAATTGATCCATTGATTCCTCAATGCAAGCTGACTCTAGCGTCCTTCTAGACTAGATTCGCTATAAGGTCACAACATAGCCAGTAGCAACATGATAGAGTTGCCTCGGTTGCAGGGCTTGAGATTAGCAGTTCATTAGCGTCAGTTGTGGTTCCACAATTTGTTTGGGAATGCATGATGATGTTGGCATCATAACGGGGCCAGTAACACACCTCATACAATATCTTCTTATGGCCCAACTTCGAACAGACCAATACGCATAGCACATATCTTATATTTTAGTCTTTGCTTCATATAAAAAGTTTAATCTAGAGGTGTTGCATTTGGAGCGGCAAAGATTATAAGTTAGCCCTTATACCCTGTTAAACTTCAAAAGCGACACTAAACCCATTAACTACAGCCACACTTGAAACAATTACAGACTTTTAATGGGCAGATGTAATACAGTCGATTAGCTGATGCAGCAGTGGCTCCTGTAGATATGAGCAACATAATATGAGTGCATTAAGAGAGGAGAGGATAATTGCAATAAACAAACAAAAAATATTTATAAAAAATACTTTCAAGAAAAGTAAATGCCAAAAAAATGTAAGGCACCAACCTTATTTGTGCGAGTTACTTACCAGTTATTTCAGTGGTAGGTGACGTTTTCGTCGACAGCAAGACGCCTGTGCTGACTTCGTCAATCTCGTCTCGAGGATTATTTGCCGGCCTAGTTTTTGAAGGTGCTCATAGAGGTAGGGTTTGCATGTACGTTTATAGAGATGAGTGTGCGTGCGTTGTGAACGTCTGCAGTGTAATCTTTAAAAAAAACGTGCATGGGCCACTACCACACAGTGGTCTTTGGCAAATAAAACGTGCATGGGCCACTAACCGCTTTAGCAGTCAAACTTAAGAAAAAAGTCGCTGCTATGTAAGAAAGAATCTGGATATATTGTTTTTAAGGCAACACGCTTACGACGGTTACGTCATTGCACTAAGCAGCAAAGCAGTCCACTATATATATGCCCTTTTTTGTTTCTTCCGCATGCTGTAACTCTTCAGGCGCCCCCACCTTATTCTCCCCCAAAGCAACCCCATGTTGGACTTGCATTGCATCTCGAATGAATCCCAGTCGTCGTACCTTCATCTTAAAGCTGGAGACTCATCACCGCTACTAAATTGATTCAAAAGCAAGAATGCGGCCGGTATGTTCCAACGGACCAAAGTGCTCCACCACAAGAGGACCACAGCCACAACGGGGACGGCCGGCCGGCGACCGCCCAGAAAAGGTTCAGAGAATGAATCTGAAACATATTGCAGGTCTACCCGATAAAACCACGCACTGCCGATGATCCATGCGCTTTAAAACATGTTGCGAGTTGCGGGCTGTTTTGCCCGGCCGCCGTCCGTCCATGGGCTCAGCTGCGCATGGTGCATGACATGAGCGCATATCAACAGCGACAGCCACTAGAAAGGGTGCGAGACGAGATAAGAATGCCCCATATGCTCCTGCTTCACCGTCTACGCTATGATTTGGTTCTTTTAGTTCTTCAGATCGGAGAGGGTGCGCTATACTGCTAACTAGTTAGCTAGATATAGTTTTTCTTCCTTGTTTTTTAGAGGTCTTTTGGTTGTTTTGGCTTAAAAGGTGGTTTTATGATTTTAGCTTCGGGCTGTTTCACACCCCCCTACTAATTGACTTATATTTTAACTTCTCATCACACTAAAAATAAGAAAATCTTCTCTCTATACACTTTTTAACTTTTAGTTCATTTTTTCAAATATAGTTTTTTCAGCTTTTTAAAAGCCAATTCAACATCTAAGCAGAAGCAAAAAAAAACCTGAAATTAGACCCTGAGCTTTTTTTTAGATTACACAAAGACAACGTAGAGCGGTCGTAATGCACACTCCCTCCTAAAAACACGTGCACGCAAACCTTATCTCTTCGAAGACTAGGCCGACGCCTCACTATCGACGGGAACGTCACTTACCGTTGAAAGGACAATGCCATTAAATCCTGAAATATTGGCTCCAACCAGGAGTTGGACCTATATGCTAAACTCTTATAACCACGAGACTACGAGCCCTTTTGCTAGACACTAATCTTTAGGGAAATATCGTTTCCTTGCCTATACTGTAGCGATCCAATTGCATTGACTTAGAGCTAGCTCGGCCCGGACCAACTGGATCTTAGCCAGCATCCTCGATAGGGTGCCTCGGCTAAGGCTATATAGCAGCTCAACGACCCAAAATTAAAAAAACTGGGCCCAGTACAATGCCTGCTCGGCCTTGCTGCCGCAATTAGACTTCTCTGGTCATGACGTACTCTACGGTACTGCATACTACTCGTTGGAGGAACAAGCTTGTTTATGCTAACCTTGTCTCGTTGACATATGATTGTATGACCATATTGGAAGAATACTGAGGATAGAATTAAGAAAAGACTAAGGCCCTCTGTGTAACATAGGAATGAGAAAACACAGAAATAGAAAAAAAAAATAACAGGAATATGATATGAATGTATATACAAACATAAAGAAATGAAAACATTGAGATTGTGTAGGATTGTACGTTTAGCTGGGTACAGGAAAAACTAAAGAATTCTAAAGGAATCTTAAGAATAATTCTAAATGAAAACATAGAAATTGTGTAGGATTATATGTTTAGCCTAAAGGAACCTGTGTATCCTATCCAAATAAGATAGAAATGGAGAGCACCCATTTGATTAGGCACCAACTGCAACCATTAATCTCCTGCTTGTCCTCGTTCAAGGTTTTTTTCCTTTAATTTCCTGTGACCTATTCCTACAAACCAAAGACTATTTCAAGAACTAAATCCTTAAGAATTGGAAACCTACATTTTTCCTATGTTTCTCCTCCGTTCCAAAGGGGCCTAAATACTTGGAAATGGGAAATCTTAGGCCCCCACAATGTAATAGAAAAAGTAGCATTAAACATTAAATGGTAAAGCTATTGCCCTCATCACAACACAATATACGAATTAAATGGTAAAGCTACCGTATGAAATCGTGAAATGAAACTGTACAATGAAAGATCCTATTTCATTTTCAGTGTCATTTCTTGAAAACGGGAGGTGAAACCTCCCATTGTTTTTTTTTTTTTGAAGGCAATGAAACCTCCCATTGTCATTAATGAAAGATGTGCCCAGTCAGTTGTCAAAAAATATTTACAACTCAATAGTCCGGCAAAGCGATGTTGAGGGCGATGGACACAGCAAATGTGACCGAGATGAGCACGGCAAACAATGGGCGCATCAGATTTTTGAACAGAAAGCTCGTGATGAAAAGCCAGAAGAATTCTTCCAAGCTCGCGGGACGCCGGTGCACATTGATGAGCCCTCTCCATTCGGCTCGTCGCCAGATCGCTTTCCCGAGGTAGAAGGGCGCCCAGATGCCCGGGAAGCAGAGGAGCACGGCGGCCAGCGCGAGCACGTACACCAGGGTTACCAGCCACCGGTTGGCCTCGCCGAGAACGACGTGGATCCCGAACGCGAACGCGGCGACCATGAGCTGCGCGCCGGGAGGCAGGAGCCCCGAAGCCGACCACTGGTAGAAGCGGCGCTGGCCTCGCGGGACCTGCCCCGCGCCGCCGTAGACGAGGAAGCAGGTGGCCACGATGGAGCAGAGGAACGCCATGGTGTCCGACACCACGAACGCCCGGAACGCGAACCGCCTGGCCAGCACGGCCGTTCCCGCACGCGGGTGGTCGTCCGCGACGTAGCCCCCCGGCACGGTGAACGCGGCCGCGAACGTGACGGTGGCGATTTTTTTTTTAATTTTAACCCTTTTTTTCAATGTAATTTTAAATCTAACACCGTTGAATTTTTTTTAAACTAACACTTTTGGCCGCACAGAGGGCTGACGTGGCGAGGGCTGGACTGGGGGACCGATGACGTGGTTGGTCCTGCCGCGCCACCGACCTTGGCGCGGCAGTGTCGCGCCCTGATCCGTGGCGCGGCTGGACCTAATATATACCGCGTGCGAGCCCGCCTGCCCGCACGCACCCCTGCCCACCCGCCCGCTCGCCGCCGCCGCCGCCGCCAGCGACCTGCCAGCGCCCGCGCCCGCCCGGCCACGCCGCGCACGCGCCCGCCCGGCCTCGCCTCGGCCGCTAGCCCATGCCGCGCAGAGAGCCCCGCTTCAAAGATACGTGGTAAAATACTCGAATGGTACAATTTGTTATCCTTTCGGTATTAAGTATGTGTACTAAAACTGTCCAACCATGTTTCTGTACCCAGGCGACATAATTGTCAAGGCTGTCCAACGAAGCAGCGTTCCGGCTTCACGAGTCTAGAGGGCAGGGGCCAGGTGTTCTCGCGGCTTTTGTGGAGGTAAACATAAACTTGTCCGTTTCGAAAATGTTTCTTTAGTGTATATGCGTTTGGGTAATGAACTAACTTTTAACGTCTATTTATGCAGAAGGTGAAGAAGAGCTGCAGGAAGCTAGCTCAGAAGCTGAGCTGCATGGACACTCCTTATGAGGAACCGCCACTCCCGGCGCGGTCGGGTAGCACGTCTTCAGCCTATTTGAGGACACCAGCCGGCTCTTCTCAGCCGATGACAGGTGTCACTTCCGCGGTGCGTACACCACCACATCGTAACGCTGGGAAGGACCCTGCAACCGAGGATGAGGAGGAGGGCGATGACGACGAGACGCATTTGACGGCGAAACCCCTCGGGCTTCCACGACGGCCACGACCGGTGGGACGAATGGCGCGCAGGGCGAGATCGACATGTGTCGGCTAAGTGGTGCCACGCTTGGCACCCAAGGAGACTCACAGGTACTAACAAAGATAGTTTGTTTCAATACGTAGGCTCCATGAACTAACGATCATAAAGAATTATAAGTAATCGTATATATCATATACCTGCGAGTAGTGCGAGCCCGACGCCTTGCCGTCGACGCGACCATACCGGCGTTGGCTACACTCCCAATGTGTTGTCAATAAATCCGAAAAGACAGAGCCGTTCGAGGATCCTTACACTCCACGGGTCTTAGTTTGTTAGGTCAAACGAATATTGGCATCCGAAACTTACGGGGTAGTTGGGTTATGTTATCTCAAACTTATGTCAAAACAATGAATATGTTATGTGGCAGCTTGTTAACTTGCTTCTTATTCGTTTCTTTGAGTCGGCAAGACCGGCGAGATTAGTTAAAATTGGCTTATCAAATTCTCTATTTGGCCGTGAATCGATTAGTTAAAATAGTGCATAATCTGTATTATCAAATTCTCTATTTGGCCGTGAAAAAAACTCAACAAAAGGCAGGCGCGACGCATTTCGATTCAACCATCCGGTACCACGCTGGGAGGCGGGCGGCGACGGACGACGACGACAGCGAACCCCGGGCTTCCGCAGACAACCACGACCGATGGGGACGAATGGCCGCAGGACGAGATCGACATGTCCCAGCTAGGTGGTGCCCCGCTTGGCACCCAAGGAGCCTCACAGGTACTAACAGAGATAGTTTGTTTCAATACGTAGGCTCCATGAACTAACGATCATAAAGAATTATAAGTAATCATGCGTATCATACCTGCAGGGTACGAGCCGTACGCACCGTTGACGCGACCATACCGACGTTGGCTACACTCCCAATGTGTTGCCAATAAATCCGAAAAGACAGAGGCGTCCAAGGGATTCTTACACTCCTGGGTCTTAGTTTGTTAGGTCAAACGAATATTGGCATCCGAAACTTACGGGGTGTTGGGTTATGTTATCTCAAACTTATGTCAAAACAATAAATATGTTACGTGGCAGCTTGTTAACTTGCTTCTTATTCGTTTCCTTGAGTCGCGGCAGCACTGCTGACGAGATTAGTTAAAATTGGCTTATCAAATTCTCTATTTGGCCGTGAATCGATTAGTTAAAATAGTGCATAACTGTATTATCAAATTCTCTATTTGGCCGTGAAAAAAAAACTCAACAAAAGACGGGCGCGGCGCGTTTCGATTCAACCATCCAGGTACCACGGGCGGGCGGCGGGCGCAGCGGCCATGTGGTGTGGCTGTCGGGCTGTATATATTTGGTCCAGCCGTGCCACGGATCAGGGCGCGGCACTGCCGCGCCAAGGTCGGTGGCGCGGCAGGACCAACCACGTCATCGGTCCCCCAGTCCGGCCCTCGCCACGTCAGCCCTCTGCCGCGCCACCATGCATGACACGGCACAGGCATTTGGCCGCGCCAGGGTAATAGGCGCGGCCAAAAGTGTTAGTTTTTAAAAAAAAATCCGACAGTGTTAAATTTAAAATTACATTAAAAAGGGTTAAAATTAAAAGAAAAATCACGGTGGCGATTAGTAGAAACAGTTCTTCACTACGGCTCGAGGATTCTGTACACCAAACAAGACGATCAGATGATTCAAATCTGACTATTTTGGTCATGCCGGTCTACAAGACAACACACCTGCGCCATTTTTTGGCGTAGCAAATCTGCCATGGTGGCGAGACATGCGCGGACGAGGACCGATCGACCCGCTAGCCTCGGTGGTGCGACAGGGCAGGCGGCGGAAGAAGTGGGAGGCGGGGCGGGGGCTCAAGCCCCCTACCCATACCGAATCGGTGCAAATTATCAGAGAGCCTCTATGAATTTTTAGGCAAAGTTTTATAGTGTAGGGGGGCTGAGACTTAAGATCGAGTAGCAGTGTTGTTCAGCCTCCCCTAAAATATTTCCTGGATCCGCCGCTGGACAGGGCTGTCTCTACCTCTACTCCATTGCATCTTGTCCCCTTCTAAATAAATTAGTAGTTGGAATATAAATTCCACGAAACTTGGTATGGGGACTATATGGGTGTTGTAAATAGTGTAGATGATGTTTTATTTTAGTGACTTGCACAATGCCAAGTGCCATATATTTTGAAACATTTAATTTCAAAGCAGGATATATGTTATTGCTATGACCAGCACTTAGCTTCCGAAATTTCAGAAACTCTTTGTACTTTTCAAACCAGAAACCACTAAATAAACTAGAATAACTACTCAACTTGGTAAAAAAACTGAAAAAATGAAGAATAAAACATATACATTAGAATTTGCTAATATATACACAATGCTATAACTTGCACACGTTTATAAAATATTAAATTTCCAAATGTGCAAGTGTTGAGAAATCGGTGCCTTGGCCTGGACTTTGACTTCTTATGATGTGACACTAATCTTGCATGGTACCACTTCTTCTAGTGATTTTCTAGAATAAAGTCTTCTAATCACACTTGAGGCACGAAACCACCAAGCAAATAAATTTCCCTTATCCTCTACTTTTAGGGCTCCTTTGGATCAATCATTGCCCATAGAGATTGGAGGGGATTTAGAGACAGATTTGGGAATGGGTGTATGGTCCAAAGGAGCCTTTAGTGCAATTTGCTTGACTTAAGGATTATTTCCTTGGCGGTTTTGGTATTTTTCTTGGTAGTTTTCGGCCCTCAAGGTAATTCAAATTTCTGGTATAGTGGAAGCGAGAAAAGGTACTTTCTTCAACTCCTAGCCTCCCAGTTCATTTCAAGAATCACTTAATTATGGAATAAGTATAGAATCATTTCTTAGTAAAAAAAATATTTGGTAGTTGAAGCTCTATCAAACGGACTGTGCTAGCAGGGAGCATACCCTTAACACGCTAGTTGTTTAACCGTGCTAGGCTACGGCCCAAGAACGGCACTTGGCAAAGGGCCAGGCCCTAAGCCAACGGGCCGTGCCATGCTACCGGCCTATCTAGTAGACATGTATAGTTGCGTGATCTGATCCATTTTGAAGAGAGCAAAACACGGATGGATTTTGTAACAACATACAACGTGTATACATTCACATATACTGATCTATATATTCCTGACTCTCTCACCTGATGAACTGGGGTACTACGACTGCCAAAGTGCCAAAACTACTAGAGATGGAAGTTACCAAACAGCATAAATACTCCATGCTAAACTAATAATAGAATTCGTCGCAAAAAAAACTAATAATAGAATAAATAAAGATGTGCAGGCGCATGCAAACAGATTCAAGGCCAAGGCCAAGGCCATAATCGATGTTACGATGTGGACGTGGTCCCGAAATCTTTCTACTCATCCAAGTCGTCTTCCTGTATCGTCTCGAGCTTGGGCTTGGGTGGCCGCCGGTGCCTCTCCGACTCCGCCGCATGCCGGAAGTCAGCGACGACGTCGACGTGCACGGTGCCCATGCTCATGATCTCCGCCACGACGTCTTCGTCAGGCGCCCCTCGGCGACCGGCGCTCTCCAGCAGCCGCCGCAGCTGGCCCTTGGTCATTCTGATCTTGACGCGCGTGCCTCCGCCGTTCTCCGCTGACGCCACCCCTCGTGCTGGTGCTGCCCTGCCGGCGAAGCGCTCGGCCGACAGGCCCCAGTCATCGTCGACGTCGTCCCACGCCATCACCCTCACCCTCTCCAGGCAGCTGCAGTTTCCCATGGCAAACAAATGTAGCTAGTTGATCTCGAAACTGGCTAGCTAGTAGTAGCTTGCGCCGCTTTGCGCTACTACTGCTGCACACCGTGGACTGGGAAAGGCAGGAGGAGGAACGAGATGAGCTATGAGAATAGGCTGAAGAAGGCTAGAGATCGAGAAGTAGCAGTGGCGTTTGTTTGAGCTTATTGTAGGTTTGGGGTTTTGAATGGGTTTTAGTGTAGTGGAGAGACAGGGTATATTGGAGGTTGGGGTGCATATACGAGTGTCTGATGGTGAGACGACTGCATAGAGATTAGAGAATGAAAGAACAGGTTCCAGGAAGCAGGCTAAGACTACATGCATGCCGTACAGGTACAGTACAGGACATAATCGTTGCTGGGATTTAATTTGTATTTTTTTTTTTACTTAAATGAGAGAGATGCATGGTTCTGCTTCCGTTCCTCGTCGAGGTCTGAGCTTGAGTGCTTGACCGACGACAGAGAGGCTGTGGCCGTGTAGAGAGGGCTGCATGCGTTTAAACAAGTAGCCCTTGTCTGCAGCTAGATTGAAAGTTGTGATGATGCTGATGATCTTGCCGACTCTGTATGAGAATACTAGCTGATGATAGTACTCGAATAGTTTATCCTGTGTGTCAGCGCCTGCTTACAACTTGTACTGATTCAAAACTTTTGTTTTATTAGTGTATCAAAAGCATGCATGTATATACTGCTGCAATAATCGAATGGTATTTGGGGTACGGTGGCATGCATATGCGTTTAACGTTTATAAACCGGCCTCAAAATTTGGCAGCTTTCAATAATTCCATGGCCATTTGCGCCCGGTTAATTGCAGCTATATGTCCACTTTTTTACCGCTACATAATATAATCGTTTCTTCTTTTAGCTTTTGAAAAGAGAAGCGCTGTCAAAATCAAAAGATGCCATACTTCTCTTCAAATTCAAAAGAGAGGATATCGACGTGATAGCCCACAGTTCGTAATTAGAGTCGCAATAACAAAAATATAAAAGTGCTGCAGACGTGAGCAATGGCATAGATAGCAATACGTGCGGCTGCCGCACTTAGGCCAGTCTCAGTGAAAGTTTCATCTGAGCTTTATTTGTATTTAATACCGTGACACGTCGGCAATTTCTCTTTCTTCGTAATTAACCTGGTCAAGTCATCAAATTTGGCCACCACGGGCTCAATCTACGATAATGATGTATTGTACTACTCTTAGACTGTTGTGTTATGAAACTTTCACTTAGATTGGCTATGCAAAGTTCCCCCGATACAGTACGCACTCAGTCTTGTTGCGTGCCTGCCACGATATTACAGTATTGTGTAGAGTTCAACTCATGTTGATCTGATCGATGATTATTATTATGTTGTTGTATATATAGTTCGCCACATGTTAGTCTGATCGATGGTCAATTAACCACGCAGTAATATAATCATCTCTGGTACCATCAGTTAAAAATGCTCTATATCCATCTTAGATATATTAGATCTGAGTATTATAGCTTCAAGAGATTTTGGATATACTACTGCAGCAGATACATCAAGAGTATTTAGGTTCATTATTTTATTTATACGTTAGACTAACTACAAATATTTAATCTGCTTTAGTTTACTCAAAAAATTATACTAGATTAATTTAACGTGAGTATGGGATCTAAAGCTGTGCCAAGCAAGACTTGTAGATCCGTACTTCGCGACTACGATCGAATCGTCGAATGAGTTCTTCTAACTTTGAAGATCCACCAGCATCAGCATCGATTTGACAAAAAAGGAAAACCAGCTCTGAGTTTTCTTCCTGAGACGCGTAGTAGCGTAGGACCGGAGTATTATAATTTAGTGCCATATGGTGATGGTTTTCCAGAAGTATCCACACACTGCCATATTTTACTCTGACGAGCAGCATCGTGAAATCTGCGCGTGTGCGTGCATATGCATTTGGCAACCACGGGCTCAGTCAAGTCAACGATCGAGAATGCTGGATTGTACTACTGTTAGACTGCCTCCAATGGCGCACGCAAAAGCCGATCCAAACGCAAAATGTATCTTGCACAGTGTTTTTACGTCCCAAAATCACACTCCAACGGAGGACGCATTCAAACCAGCCATTTTGCGTAGCAGCGGTGTCGGGAGGCAAAAAAGCGTTGTCGTTCTCGACGACGCAAAACAGAGAGAGGGAGAGGAGCGACCGACGCCGGGGCCCGACACAGGGGCGGGGCCGATGAAGGTCGGTGGAGGCGCGGCTGCCGTCGTGGAGTCCGGATCCGCCCGGCCGCCATCGGAGGGAGCAGGGGTAGGCGGCATCGGGCAGGGAGGGGCTGCGGTCGCCGATGGAGGTCGGTGGGAGTAGGAACAGGCAGCGTGGGGCAGGGGAGGGAGGATCCCGTCGGCGAGGTCCGCCTGCGGTGGAGCAGCGCCGCCGGCAAGGGCCGCTCGCCGCCCTCGCAGCAGCAACGAGCCGCTCGAGCTCCTCGGAGATGTTAGAGTTGAAGCTGGAGGTCGGAGAAGTCCCGTGACAGCTCGAGCAGCTCCATGGCGACCGCATTGATGGTGGAGGACGACTTGGCGATGGTCGCCGGGTGCGCGGGCCCCGCGGTGGCGGCGAGCTCGCGGAGGTGGATCTGGGAAGTAGAACACCGCATGCCCGCCCATGGTCCGCGCCCGTGGCTTGCTAGCCGCGGAGGCCTGCGCGGCGGCGGCGCCCGCGCCCGCGGTGCGAGAGGAGGAAGGGAAGAGGCGGCGGCGCTCGCGAGAGGAGGAAGGGAAGAGGATGCTCTGTTGCGCCCGACGGTTGGAGAAGATAGTTTATGGGTCATGGACCCTTTCACTGTGCGCGATGTAAACCGGGGAATGCGTCTTGTTTTTGGGTGCTCTTTGTTGGAGTCAGTCTTAGACTGCTGCACTGCCAACTGGTATCCATCCATAAATACTTTATGATCATCGTTGTTTACGAACCTTTTAGGTTCCGTTGCTACGTTACTCAATCTGGAATTTTTCTTTTTTAATATAATCGGCAGCTTTTCTATCTAATTTTTTTAAAAAAATTAGTTTATAAGTATTAGATTGGATTAACACGTTCCAAGTATACACGACTTCATTTTGTATAGAGTAGAGTGGTCGGCCTGCGGGCATTAGTGGTGGCGAGTATAGCCTCTCTTACGTAATTCTGTAACTCTGTTTCTTTATTTTATTTTTCTTTGTCTAATAAAAATCCGACAAAATCTGTTATCACCTTTTGAAAAAGAGATAATTCCTTATTTGACACCAGACAAATGACCCGTTCCTTTCTTGGCCCTCAAAGAATTTTCGTTCCCTATTTGACACCGAGTTCCACTTTCATTCCTTATACGACACTCCGTTAGATTTTCCATCTGAGAACCGTTAGATGCGCTCTAAAAAGACGGTTTTGCCTCTGTGGGCCCCACCACCCTTCTCCCTCCTCTCCTCCTCCAGCTCGCCGCGTCCTCCCCCAGCCCAAGGCCACCAGCTCCGCGTACGCGCGTACGCGCGGCCTGAGGAGAAGGCCGCCGGCCGTCCTCGCCGCTGCGGCCAGAGCCCCCTCCCTCCTCCGACGAGCCGCGCCACCCTCCTCCTACCTACTCCGACGACACGCGGCGCCCTCCCCTCGCTACCTCCGCTGGCGAGCCCCCTCCCTACGCTGATGACTCGCAACGGCGGGGACGGCCGGCAGCAGCTCCCGCTCAAGCTCCTCCAGCTCGCGCCAAGAGTCATCGCCTAGGCGCACGGCTGCCGCCGCCTCGTCCTCGAGCTCCTTCACCCGACCCGCCACCCCAACCCACCACCGACCGTTCACCATAGTTGCGCGTTCACGAGCTGGTCGATCGTCATCGGCCACGCTAGCATGGCCACCCCGACGCCCGTGGCCTCGAGCACGGACTTCCACCCGCAGTGCATGACGAACCACCCCACCGCGCGGTGCCATAGTGCGGCCACCTGCGGTGACCACCCACGGACCACCGTGCCCCTACCGCCAACCGCCGCCACGCGCTCCTCAAACCTCACCGGGAGCGGCGCCGCGGGGCCGGCCGGCCACACGAAGGCCACCAGCGTCCGCTCCAGTGCGGTGGCCATCGCTGCCGCGTGAGGCTCCTATAGCACCGCCATGCTCCCTAAGCAGACATACACAACGAAAGCTTCGGCGAACCCATCGAGCCACGCGCCGCCGCGGTTGCCCACGGCATCGGCCATGGGAGCCAGCGGCCCGACCGCGCGCGCGCCAGAAGCCCATGTCCGCAGCGGCGCCTCTAGGTACCGCTCCTCTTCGTCGGAGCAGGCAGGAGGAGGGTGAAAGGTCCTAATATGGCTAGAGGGGGGTGAATAGCCTATTTAAAAATCTACAAATCAACTAGAGCAATTTGATTAGTACGATAAATAGCGAAATGCAAACTTGCTCTAGCTCTACAAGGGTTGCAAGCCACCTATCCAACAATTCTAGTTGCAATGATTCCTAGGCACACAACTTGCAAAGTTACTACTCACTAAGAGCTCTCAATCTTGCTACTCTAAAGAGCTCCACTAGATGAGATTAAAATAACAAAGCAAGCTCTCAATTCTAATTACACTAAAGAGCTTGCCACAACTAGTTTGCAAGAATATAAATGAGTGAGTAGGGTGATTATACCGTCGTGTAGAGGAGTGAACCAATCACAAGGTGAATATTAAATCAATCACCGGAAGAATACCAAATGACAAGAGACAACCAATTTTCTCCCGAGGTTCACGTGCTTGCCAACACGCTACGTCCCCGTTGTGTCGACCAACACTTGGTGGTTCGGCGGCTAAGAGGTGTTGCACAAACCTCATCCACACAATTTGGACACCGCAAGAACCTACCCACAAGTGAGGTAACTCAATGACACGAGCAATCCACTAGAGTTACCTTTCGGCGCACCACCGGGGAAGGTACAAATCCCCTCACAATCACCGGAGATGGCCACGAACAATCACCAACTCGTGCCAATCCTCCTCCGCTGCACCAAGCCGTCTAG